CTTATGCTGCAATTATAAAGTCAACCACTACAGGAAACGAACACGTAACGAACGAACCGACAGCAGGAGGAGGACGTGGCCGCAGGCACACACACACACACACTTCTACTTGTGTACAGCGACAATGCCACTCCAACTTTTCATGTCATCACAAACAACTAAATATGCTACGTGAAAACAACTAACTGCTACGACCTGGGCCAGGCTTCCTGCCATCCTACCCTGTCGCAGACAACTGGAGATTTTGCATAACATTCATGACGAATGTTACACACACCATCGTCATAGCAATCGCAGAAGCAGTGCTGGTAACAAGACTAAGGGCGGCATACGACAGCAGTAGTGCACAGAATCGGCATAAATCAAACACCACGTGCATAACATACACCACCGTAATAGCAATCGCAAGAGAATCCGACCTCCGCTCTCTGATGCTCCCTCCTAAGTTTGTATGCGGATGCTTGTGCCGGTTGGCCTCAGGGGCTTTGTCCGTCTTCCGGATTCCCGTCAGCTGTTCTTTCAGAACTCCTTTGCCCACGCGCAAATGCTGGTTTGGTTCCCCTGGCTTCCAGCCGACTGTTCCCTGCAGTCTTGCATTGCCCTTTGGGATTTGGCTGCTCGGGGCGCATTGTTGCTCCTGTTGCACCAGCTACTGGGTGAGGGCATCTTCCATTTCACACAGTTTTCTGCTCCGATAACTCCGCCTCGGAAGGGTCTCAGCTTGGCTAAAGGCCTTTGCCACATGCTCCGGGCTCTCTTTTTTGCCTTCGGGAGCGCCTTCGCGTTTCCGTTCGCATTGACCATGTTCCGGGCATCTCCAAAGATGTCGCGGACGCCCTCAGTCGCGCAACGAAACCGTCCGACCTGGGCTTTCTCGATGTGCAGGCCGTCGAGGTCGACTGGTTTTTGCTGTCCGGTCCGCAGCCCTTACAGCTGTTTCCGTCTGTTGAAGCTTTTAGGGGCATGATGCCGTTGCTTGAACGTTTTTTGGGGCTGTTCCGCTGTCGGGTCCAGCATGGCGGCTCGATCATCGTTGGTCCAACCGCCGCCCAGAGGTTCAATCTGCGTCCGGCCATGGCAGTGCTTCACCTGACCACCGGATCTTTCATGCATCGGGATGCAACGGCAACGGACCGCTGTAGCCATCGGCTCACAGTCGGGTCGGTTGCACCTGAACTTTCCCGCCACCATCCACCTCCGAAGGTGCGTTGGGGTCCAGCAGTCCCGGGTCTTTTTCGACCGTGCCAGCCAAGTTCTCAGCGTGGGCTTTCTTCCGTGGTCCGTGTCTCACTCACGTCCGTCATGTCTCACCTTTTTTGCTTTCTCGCGGCCTGTCCGACAGCCGCCAACATGACCAGAGGTTCAATCTGCGTCCGGCCGTGGCAGTGCTTCAACTGACCACCGGATCTTTCCTGCATCGGTACAAAAACAAGACCTCTGTCCGAGCTTGCGAGTGTCTTCCGTAACAAGGGTAACGGACTACTCCGACCGAGCGTTTGAAATTTCATGTTTGTTTGCAAATCTGAAAGACTTGATCCGATGCAAGTTGCATGTGTTTTTCGAATTTTTGCCCTGCCAGGAGCTCTTTCGAGTCTGGGGAAGCTCCATGCCAAGCTCTTACGAATCTTGCCGGCAAGCGCATCATTGATGTCACAGACTTCGATGTGGGCCCCAACCCGAAACGACGTCGAGAAGGAGAAGGAGCCCAGTCCTCCGAGCAAAAAGGCCAGGCCGGAAAGCCAGCGAGCGGGACTTGCGGAAGCCAGCGATCCTCGAGGCTCCGTAAAGGGTCGAAGCCGCAGAAAGATCCACGGCGAGCGCTGCTGTTCTCGCAGCGCATGTCGCAGTTGTCGCAGAGTTTGTCGCAGAAGTTGAAGGCGAGTGGGCGCACCCCGCGCCGAAGCATCCGTGTTCGGAAGGGCGGCTGGATTCTGGCTCGGGGCCCTCAAGGCTCTGAGCCCAATCCTGACAAGCCAGAGGAGCTGGCACCGCTCCGGGGGCTCCCACCGCTCATGTCCGCACCTTCCGCGCCCGAGCGGCCCGATGTGCTCTTCACGGGCTTTGCGCGCAGCGACTTGCACTCTCTCCGCAAGATGGTGAACTGCCTGGGAGGCGGGGCCTTGTGCATGTGCAGGGATTCCTGATGATGCGCGCCTGGTGTATCGCTCGCCAAGGTCTGGCCGTTAATTCCCTGACGGGAGGAGGCAATGGCCGGACCAACGTCCGGGTCGTGGTGCAGTGCACCTCAGACGCGGGGAAGACTGTCGCCACGAAGCGATCCCTGAAATACATGGAGGGAGTGCTGGCTGGCGCTTGGGTCCTCTCTTCAGAGTGGGTGCACAAATCCATGCATGCCGGCCACTGGCTTCCTGAGGCCGAAGCCTGAGATCGAACACAAACCTTTAAAGAAGGTGCTTCTCAACTCGTAAAAACATGCGAAAAAAACCCCTCAGTCAGGTCCGCTTTCAGCTCGCCGGCGACCTGCACGCCTTGGGCGGCCCTGCCCGAGGCCGGAATCACGGCCCTGAGCTCTTCCAGGGATGCCGCTTCCACTTCGTCGCCGGGGCCCAAAAACTGTCCGATAGTCCTGGACTCTCGTGGCTTGCCGTGCTACCAAAGGCCATCCCACCAGGGAAGAAGGACGGGCGGCTTTGGTTTGCCAAAATCCGCAAGAGTGGCATGGAAGACGTGCAGGAGAATCTCTGCCTAAGCATCGGTGCCGAGGAGGAGACCGGCCAAGACATGGTTGGCCTCTCAACTCCTCACACTGAGCTTTTTCCACCCAGGAGGGGCCCACGGTTGGCCAGCTCTGCCGCCTGGTGCGGCGAGCGGGTGCTCAGGCTTTGGGGTGGGGATCTGTAGGGTTTAGGGCTGTGCTCTGCTGTGCGAGGTGCTTGAGACCATTCAGAAGGTACCGGATGCTGAGGAGACAGGGATTCTCTCAGGACGGGAAGCCGTAGCGGTTCCGGAGTCAGGACGATCCGCCCCACCTGGCTGCAGCAGTGCATGCTTCTCGGTGCCTCACTGAGCTGTTCTGGCAATGACACTGCACGCATGCCTTGCCTGTATCGGCTATTCTACGAGGCCGAAAAGGCGACCAAGCGCAACAAGCTCCACACAGGTCCTTCAGCAAGGCCACCTAAGCTATCTCTACATCGGCCAACTTGAAGGCGGGCCCTGCTTTGCCACGCTACTGGCCTGGAGCTCAGCGATCAAGCCCATCATCCAACTTCCAGAGTCGCCTTTCCGGTTCCTTTACCTTCGGGAGGTGGCGGAGGCCTATAGTCGTCAACGTTCCTGAGAAGGCGCGAGCACCGCAAGGAGCAGGATGGATGATCACTACTGGGCTCGAAAGGAGAGTCCGGGAAACCGCCGCTCCGCAAAACTGGCCAGAGATCTTGGGCCTGGACCTCATTCGGGGAATTAGTAGCATACCGGTGGGACATTTCTCATGCTGCAACGATGCCCTTGATCCGAGACGTCTTGGCGCTTGCTAAGCTGGAAAAGAGTTTCAGGTGGGCTTCCTTGCCTGCCACGTGGCTGTATGACTGCATCTCTCATGGAGAGGTCCGCTTTTTTTGGGAGTGATGCAGAGTGTACGGCACGGAGCTATCAGTGGTCGGCAATACTCCAAACTCTGTTTTGAAACCTTCGTCCCCACCAGATCATGGACAGAGGAGAGCCTCAGTTAGCAAAGCTCAACTTCTCGCAGATTTGCTTGCCGGGCGCTGGCGAAAGCGAGTAAGTCGTTGCCAAGGCACTCGAGGGGAAGTTTGCCCTGTCAGCTTCCATTGAGACCGACTCGAAAGCTCACGGCTCACAGACTTTGCAGGCGCCAGGAGTAAACACCAGTCAGCCACTCAGCCGTTAATCAGCATGACGGCCAGCCAGGCATGGTTGACTCTTGCACGTGCGCAAGCTTGTGTTTGTTATTTTGGGCAAAGCTGCACTCGCCAGGGGAGCCTTGTGGGGGTTGCTCAAGGCAATTTTCCGCGCCATGTGCGACGAGGCCCGCGAGACTCTGATCAAGCTACACACATTCGCAACGGGCACGATACGGTGTCTTGAAACGCAGGTCGGCGAGCAGACCGATTGTCACGAGCATCATGAGCGATGTAGCGGATTTGAGAAAATGCCGGCCGGGTTGACTTGAATCTCACTCTAGAAGGCAGCCTTTCCCAGTGCAACAGAACGCCTGGAGATGCCTCACACGTTTGTTTGACACCGTGGCTCACATGAGCGTTAGGCATCTTGACAACAGCTTGGAGACGTCTAACTGGCAAGCAGACAGGCCAACTGGTGACTAGATTCGCATGCATCCAGGTCAATGATCGCAACCATTGTTTGTTCCGCTGCTTGAATTCTGGTCACTTAAGCAGGTTTGTCTTTGCGCAGCCAAGTTCTTTCCTGCTACAAGAAGAGATCTAATGGTGCAATGGGAGAAGCAAATTGAAGAGCGCAGTGTTCCAGAATGGCGCGCGGTGACGGCATGTTTGCACAGGGTTGCAAGGAAGGCCCTCAACACGGGATCCTTTTATGTTTCCAGGACATGGTATTCGGTTGCTGTATTGCTATAGTATAGTCGGCTGGGAGGTGTGTGCCGCCTCAGTGCCCGAAGTGTACAGGTGTGTGTGTGTGTATATATATATACACACAGATGTATGCACAGATGTATGCACATACATGGGCACGCCCTGCCACGAACTTGCAGGGCCACAACACAGAGCCCTCTGAAACCATCTAATTTGATTCATGTATGGCCTGCAAGCCATTGAGCTGATTGAATTACCGGTCGTCATCCGCACTCGCTGTCGACAGCCTACAAAACCTTCAAGCTTGGTAAAGCTGCTTCGACTCGCAAGGGAATCTGATTTGGGAAGAATGGTTGTGATGCACGAAGGGCCAGCATAGCGACGTCTTTTGTTTGTTCTCGTGTCTGTGTGTGTTTTTGTGAGTGCTGGCATTCCTTGATGTGATAGCCAGGACAAATATGTGGCATATGCGCGCCTGAAAAGGAAGCTCGTCGGAAGCTCAACGGAAGAAAGAAGGGCATGGATCGAGGATGGATTGCTGTTATCTTCTTTTCAGTCACGATCGCCATCGACTGGGGGTTTCTGGTTGAGGAACAGATCAAGGCAGCTGCATCGGTCTGCAGAACCGGCAGCGAGGACCAGTGCTGCGGGAGCAAGAGCAGTGCAGGTAGAATTGGCGCACAGCACATTGAGCAGACAGGTGTGGCTTTTCAAGGGTGTTACCGGTCCGTGGGGAGCACATGTCTAGTGGCGGCAGCAGCCACAGTCTAGTTCATTTCGTCTTTGGTGACCCGGACGCGGTTCTATGGGACGGAGTAGAGGAATTGTGATTGAGGGTACAGTTAGGCATTGTACATGCCTGTGATTGGTAGGGATATGTGCAGTGGAAAGCAAGCGTTTGTGAATCGTTGTGCCCAGTAGGACTTTATTCCGCATGCCATCACTCGGGCTGCTATGGAGAGCGACTACGACGAGCAGCGGTCTTACCGACCCACCGCGTGCTATTGCCATTCTGAGAGTCTGAGACCTAATTCTTTCCTTTTCCCTTTCGATCATCATCGTAAAGACTCATTCTCATCTGCCCATTTCGCAGAGGCTTCTGGCTTGGGTGGCTCCTTGTCTCTGTGCGGGTAAGGTCTCGAAGAGTCAGCAAAGAGAGCGACACAGAAGCCCCGCTTCTGCATCGAGAGGCCGGCATAAATGCAAGAGGGTGGACGCTCATCTTTGAATCAACGTGGGCTTGTGGGGTACGCCGCACGGCCTGTGCTTCGGCCAGCTCGGCTCGAGGTTGCCTGCTCAATGCACCTTCATGTGCTGCTCGTTCTCAGTCTCGCCCTAACCCCGCCAGCGATTCGAGATGAGCACTTTTCCCACCTGGATGCCGCATGGCTGCCATGGAGTGTGCATGTGACAGAAATATCATACTCGTGCGCCGAGCTGTCAAGGGCTTCCTTGGCCGCTCGGAGGCTGCACTTGCAGTGCTTCAAAATCCCAGTTACTAGTTACTGTACTGTTCACTCGTCGTGAGTTCACAGAACTGCTTTTGGCGCTCTTGAAAGGTCATAGACTCTCGGAAAGAGACATGTCCAGAAGCGAAGCTCGTGGGGTCGGTGCCCACAGTGCCCCCTGGCAAAACAGCAAAGCTCTCACTTCCTCAGCAGCTGTGCCTGACTCAGGTTTGAGCTCAACTACAGCCATGCGCGGGAGCTGGACTTCGCAGATGACTGGGCCTTCAAAGCCGATCCCGGCTGCCAGGGACCCGCCGTGTGCACTGCTTCGGTCGCCCCTGTCATCAATAGCACCTCGCAGCACTTTGTGCTCTTTCAGCTTTTCCTGGCGGTGGCTTCCCAGCAAAGAACCGCCTTGCACTTGCAGGTACTGATCCATTCGTTGGCTCGAAGGTGCGACGAACCATACGGGAGTTTCGAGCCTTTCACTTCATGCCCCCATTCGTAGCATGCGTCTGCCATGTCGGGTATCCTCCCGAAATTCTTTTCACAGGCGATCATCACGGCCTGGTCCGACTGCCAGCAAGCCAAGGGTTCCCGGATCTTCCTCTGCGGTATGCGTGTGTCAAGGGGCGACAACCGCTGCAGGGCGTGGGGCCGAGTCTGCTCCAGGCTAACGGTTGTTGATGTCGTGCATGTCTCAACTGAAAATCAAGCATCCTTCTTGTCATTCATGCGAGGCAGCCATCACGATTCCGACCCACTTTACACGCCTCCGGCATTTGGTCGGCTTATTGATTCCAGCGCGCAGGAGTCGACGAAAGATGCTCCAAGCGGCATTCTCACTCTTGCGCTGCATGATCCAAGCCCACAAGAGTCAATACTCCCTTTATCATACTTGTATCCAAGCCCGCAAAGCAACCATCCGCTTGAGTGTTGCCTTCCATTGCCGTGAGGATGCAACGCCTGGATGCCATGGGGGGCATCTTCGAGGATTTTGTCCTCGAGGGTCTGATGCTGCTGAACGTGCTGGTGACAACAAGCAGCATGCTTAACGAAAGAAACTGCAATACAAGTTTGTAGCAAAGTCCGCCACAGGTCGCAAGAAGGTGTCACCTGGGCGCGCTAGGTTAGGCAAGTAAAGCTGCTCTGGATGAGTTGAGGCGCCGTTTACTGGCTGCTGCGAGAGCTCTACCTGCTGTTCTGTCTGCCCGCGCTGGATATGCATGCCGTCGATGTCGATGAGCATCTGGTCATTCCTGAAGCTCCTGAGCTGACATGTGACAAGCCGTGTATCAAGGGAGGCACAGGTCGATGGTGAGTTTAGGCCAAGGCTGCGGTAGGACATGGTGCCAACCTGGTCGCACCGTAGTTCTGCGAGGGCAGGCAGTCATTTAGCCGTGGCTCAGGCAATCGATATCATGATGGAGGGAATGCTGGACGCGATTTGCTTCGTTTTGGGCTGTATGCTGCTTCTGCTAGCTGCTTCGACCTTCTTGAAGAAGTTTGGGAGCAACGACAACCCGACGGATGCCATCATTCTGACTTATCCACTCCTTTTTGGGCCTCCGGCTTTATTGCGCATCTTCCTATGCATTTGCCGCAGGTTGCTATACCACGCTTTGTTCAAGCACGGAGTGATTATCGACTTCAGCAAGGGCGTGTCGCAGCACGACTTCCTCTTGTCATGGAGCTACCTGGGCTTCGTGGTGGCCGTGGGGATCTTGATTTTTGATGCCTACATCCGCGTGCATGAAGGACAGGTTACGGCAAAAGCCATGACGATCAACGTCATCGTGTTCACGTCGCCGCTTTATTATATGATCTCCTCGTTGCTGAACTCCCTTCGGGTTGAGCAGGAGGCCATCAAGCGTACCTGCCTGCAACAATTGGAAAAGACAAAGGGCCCCGATGCTCCGGAGGAAGTATCACCGTCTGCCAAGCACAAGCTTTGCCCCTTAGCCGAGGGCAGCATCTGCCGAGCAGCGCGTGGAAGGAAAGACTTGAATCTCAGCATAAAGCTTGCGAAGGAAGCCCCTGACAGACATGACAGTGATGAACGTTTCGGGTTGCGGGACATGTTCTGGGTTCCACGGTTAGTGTCGGGGACTGGCCGATCGACTTGTGGAGCTTTGCTACTGGTGACATCTATGCCTGTTGTGGCTTTCCTGACCATGCTCTTGGCGTTGGTGAGCCATAGGCCCTGAGTTCAGCAAGCTTTTCTGCACATTTTAGGATGCGTCAATCCAATTTTGGGCCTTGGTCCTTGTAGCTTCTGCTGCTAGGGTTGCAGTGGTTCGCGGGGAGTGCTATAGAGCCTTAGGCCCTAGGCAGTAGGCGATTAGAAATGCTGGTGAGAAGGATCCCGTCAGTGGTGTCCGCATTTGGCCTGTGGAGCCGCCGGTCGACTCTGCAATGAGAACATGCGCACGGGTTATTTGTTTGCGGATCGGCTTCGCATCTCAAACCACAGGAACCACAGGCCCATGACTCAAGGCAAGCCGGAAGACGCTGCCGCAATTGAGGATTGAGGCTGTCCCAAACGTCCAGACGACGACTCCTCGAACGCGCAGGTTCGGGTGGCGCGGTTGTCCAGAGAACACCTCACCACATGTCGCTTGTGCTCGAGACCACAAGAGCCGTCCAAGCAAACCCAGGCTGCAGGTTTGTCAGTTGTCAAATCAGCCTGCTCAATCCATTTTGATGTGCTTTAGTTGTTCAAGGCTTCGAAGAGCCACTTGGAACCGATGCATTTTGAGTATTCACCTTCATCGGGATTGGTGAAGCCAGGCTTCCTGTGCTTCCGGCATCAGGCTCACATGCCATAGTCCTAGTTACGACCTCGTCGTGTATGTTCTTTGGTAGACTCCTCCACTACAGGCATGGCTTGGTTCATCAAGCATCGCACAGACATTCCGGAAATTGGATCAATCGTCGCTGACGTTCCCGGATTGCATCCCAGCTTCACTCCCGAGGTTCAGAACTATGCGCCCCTTGGAATTCGATTACAGAAGCATTGTTTAGCCTTCACGATGTTCCCCAGGCAGCATGAACAGGCAAACGGAATCGTCGAACACTCAAAAGCCACGGTTCTCAACAGAAACACCTGTCCTCTCGGATAGTAAGTTCTGAGCCTGAGTCCTCAGGTTCTTCATTCTGAGCACCTACAGTGGCTTCACGTTGACCTCCGAGGCAGATCTTGAGCGGACCACCTTCCTGAAGAACATGGCGACTCGACTCGGTTCCAGTTCCGGAAACGCAGGAAATACGTCTCAGACTGATGGGCCAGGATTGGTGTTTTCTCGCCTGTGCCTCTCTCAGCCGAGGTCTTCGATGGATCGACAGAGATTACCGATGCCTCCGGTGAATCAACTTCAGGAGTGTCCCTGGACTTACCTAGACGTATTGCATGGACATCTAGTGACTTTGGCTAGCGAGCTCTTGGAGGTGTCTGACTGTCATGCAAATCGGTGAGGTTGATTCACACTGTGCCCCTGCGACGCGTGAACGCCACGTACCCCACCACGGTTTACCTCACGGCTGGCACTTTCAGCCAGGTGCAGCATTCGACTTGCTGTTTGCAGTCCCGCAGCTCAGGTTGCTGAGTCTGTGTTCGTGCTCCGGTACCGGATCTCTAAGCCCAAACTCGGAGTGGTAGAGCTGCAGGCTCGTTGTTTGCCCCCCCCCCCACATCCTCACGATGCCGAAGCGTAGGTGCAGACGTACAAGATCACCGTCATTCATGTGAAGCCAACCTTCAGCGCCTTATTTTGCAAGTTGGGGAGCCGGGATCCGAAAAATTGCGGTTCCTCACACTGACATAGGGCTTCCCATCCGCTGGCCTGCCTTCCGTGACTTGGGAATTTCGTGCTTGTCAGGAACACT